CCTTTGGCCAGACCCCAAAAACTTGGGGCAAAGTTTACCAAGAAAGTAAACGGAAAAGTTTGGTATGTGGGAAACACACGGACAAAACACCTGCAGCTCAGCTATATAATTGGAGGCATGGCCTCTCTGGTTCCTGATTGAACTGCTTAATGGCCATTATCCCAGAGACTCAGGAACAAATCTCGAAACCCAGGGGCTTTTGGCAGAAATGTGTCTGGTCCATGCAGTAGGTTACCAGTGCTGGGTCAATCCAGGTGGGAATAGGTTTCGTGCCTTGGCCTGTTCCCCCCCGGCGGCCCTATGGCCGCCATGCTTCAGAGGTCACTGCACAGTCAGGTTTGGGCTCGCAGTGACGAGACGCGCGGGGTCTCACAGGATGGTGGTGGAGCCACCCTTTTCCTCCCTATCCCAACAAGACCCTGAGTCGCTGCCCACAAATGCCCTCTTTGGCTCCTGATCAAGCTGCTTACTGGCCATGATCCCAGAGACTCAGGAGCAAATCTCAAAACCTAATGGCTTTTGACAGAAATCCCTCCAGATTTGTGATAAAATTTCAGGATTTCAAAATCACATGGCCCTACTGCAGCCGCGCGACATCATATGTTATCCATAACCAGCAATAGATCACAAATTGTCTACTGTTGCCTTTTCAGCAAATCTGAGTGTTGGTGTAAAATCTCAAATAATAAAGGTGGGTCTGGTGTCGAACTATTGAATGGGATCCAAGTAGAGAGAGAGTAATGTGTAAATCATCTGCCCCACAGGTATAGGGAGGGTGTGGGATGGGGGTATATTGGGGATTTTGGAAGTGGAGAATGGGCACTAGTGAAGGTACCGGTGTTTCATTGCATGACTTAGACTTAGACCCGACATAGAACCGAAACTTTGTAACTGCTCTCACAGTGATTCAATAAAGACAATAATAAAAAATGAAAAAAAAGAGAGTAAGGAGGAGTTCATGCCCAATTCAATCAGCTAATCAGTGGCCGAATATATAGCAGTACACCTACATTCAAAAAAAAAAGGAAAATAACATTTTAGCAGCACATTCTTCCAAGTGGCTGCTCCCTGCTCTCCCCAGGGCCTTGAGTTCACCACGTGGACAGGACTTGTGGGAAGAGGGAGAGCAGCAGCAGCCCAGAGGGGCTGCACAGAGAGCAAGCCCTGCTGCAGGGCCACAGCTGACCTGTCCTCGCTGTGATGCGCTCCATGACATCACCGACCTCTCTTTGTGATGCAACCAGACATTCTGCAGCCTCCCCAACTGCCCCCATACTCATTACTTGCTTCACTGCGGAAACGCACAGACAGCAAACATGTTTTGCTGTTTACCAAGAAATCGTGGTTGTAAAACCCCCAAGTGTAGGACACTGAAAAGATTCAGAAACTGGGTGAGGACTCACTGGAGAACTCCCCGGAATTCTTCACGAAGACAGCCGCTAGTTCAGGTCAGCAGGAACTGGCCCGGGCAGCCCAGCACTGATGACCGTGATCAGTCTTCATCACCTCCCTGAGAGTGATGGCGCAGACGCTGTGTGTGTGGAAAAGTGTGCACACCCGTGTGTGAACGTTTTTATCGGAGAGAGTAAATTTGAGTGTGTACTGGAGATGGTGTGTGTGTGTGAGTATGTGTATTTGTGTATGTACGTGTGTCTGTGTGTGTGTTGTGAGATCATCTTGAGGGCAGCCTCTCCTACCAGGTGAGTCATCAAATCTAGCCCCCAAAGCCAGGTCACTGCTCACTGAGTTGGCACTAGGAGGTGCTCTTTGGCCAAGACTTTTCTAAACTTGATTGTTTCAATCTCATTCCTATGGGAGGCCTGTGTAGATGCAGGTCCACCAGCAGGGAGGAACTCAGAAGGGAGGGGGAAGCAGCGCTTCTGGAGCTGAGCCTTTGTGGTTCTCCCTCAGCAGAGCAGCGCACAGGAGAGAGAGACGCTCCCTCAGCAGAGCAGCCCACAGGAGAGAAAGAAGATCTTCTACATATCCTCTGGGTCCAGTTCCTCTGAAGAAAGTCTGGAATCAGCCAGCACCAAGCACAGCCAGACACCATCTAAGCAGAAAGTTGAGATTGGCCAAGGATTTTCAACTCCCCAAAGGGCACCGCCTTCAATGCCATGGCCTCACACATATGGCAGAGAACGAGACTCAGAGCACCAGAAGAAAACGGGTAAGAAACAAGGGGTGTGTGTATATGCACAAGAAAAATGGGAATGCGAAAAGGCCCACCTAGAGGTGTCCTGGGCACTGGTGTGGGAAAGGAGAGTCACAGGCCAGAGAGCCCATTCCGGGGAGGCCTCCACAGGAAACCCCCGTGAGGTGGGCCCATGGTCTCCCCTTCCTGCTGGGCTCCCTGTTGGGGTCAGCTTTGGAGAATCCATGGAAGGAGCCATCTGGGTGACCTTTTCTCTTATTGATTCTTTAGCTCCTGCTCTGAAAGCATACTTGGCTCCGTGTCCAAGGTCAGCGCCAACACTGATCTCTCGAGTACCAGCTGCACGGCCACCCGCTGTGGCAACATTGGACAAGTTCCCAGAGGACCTAGCATGTTTACAACTGAAAGAAGCCCAGGGTCTCACATCAATGTCTCTGTCTGGATACCCTCCCACCAATGAGTATCTTGCATCGGTATATTTTATGATATTTATTCTTTGTTTTTACTTTATCTGTTATATTTTCATTTAAATAAATTGTGATTGCTACTCTTCACAAGCATCCATTTGCCTTTTTTTTTTTTTTTCGGTTTTTGGGTCACACCCGGAGAGCACAGGTGTTACTCCTGGCTCTTCACTCAGGAATTACTCCTGGCGGCGCTTGGTGGCCCATATGGGATGTTGGGATTCGAAACCAGGTCTGTCGCGTGCAAGGGAAATGCCCTACCTACTGTGCTTTCACTCCAGCCCCGCATCCAGTTGCATCGTAACATACTCTTCATTTGTTCTGGCATTCTTGAAAATATTCATCCAACATAGAAGACAACTCATCTTCATGTTCCTGATATAAATAAAACACAAAATAGAAAATACGTTGATTTCTCCGCAGACCCAGTATGTATTGACCTACTGTTCAGGCAATGCTCTATAATACCCAGTAGAAGTGCTAATAGATATTCACTAACAAAATTGGGGCGAACGAGACAGCACAGGGGGTGGGGCACTTGCCTTTTCTGAACCGGGGGCCCAAAGCACCATCAGGTTCTGGAGCACAAAAGCCACGTAATCTGCAACCAGGGTTTTGGTTCACTGTATCACTGTCCTCCCATTGTTCTTCAATTTGCTCGAGCGGGTCCAGTATCGTCTCCATTGCAGACTTTGTTGTTACTGTGTTTGGCATATCAAATACATCATGGGTAGCTTGCCAGGCTCTGCCATGCGGGCGAGATACTGTCGGTAGCTTGCCGGGCTCTCTGAGAGGGATGGAGGAATCGATCTCGGGTTGGCCACGTTGGCTGTTTGCAAGGCAAACGCCCTACCACTGTGCTATATATATATAAACACACAAGGCTCAACCTTTTACAACATGTTAGTGATCTCTTACCGAAGGGCTTAACGGCCCCTGGGTAGAATACACACTCCTTCCTCTAAGGATACTTTTTTTATAGGATTTTCAGCGATATTTTTCGGGGGGGCCATACCTGTCTATGCACAGGAATTTCTCCTGGCTCTGCACTCAGGAATTATCCCTGGCTAATGGTGCTCAGGGGACCATATGGGATGCTTGGAATCGAACCCAGTTTCGCCGCATGCAAGGCAAACATCCCACCCACTGTGCTATCACTCCAGCGCCCTGGCAGTTTTTCATATCAAACAATACAAGAAAATAAATTATTTCAGTTCTGCTTTGAGACAGGGATTGGGGTTCGGGATAGAGCTACCCGAAATATGGTGGTGAGAAGGTGTAATGGTGGTGGGATTGGAATCTGAATATTGAATATAATCAAATATTGTAAAACACTTTATAAAATAAAAAATTTGGGGAGTTGGAGCGATATGACAGTAGGCAGGGCATTTACCTTGCAAGTGGCCGGCGAGGTTTGATTCCCAGCATCCCCTATGGTCCTCTGAGCACCACCAGGAGGAATTCCTGAGTGCAGAGCCAGGAGGAACCCCTGGGCATCACCGGGTGTGACCCAAAAGGGAAAATAATAATAATAATAATAGTTTTTAAAAATGAGGGTGGTAGGGAATAAGTTATTGCACAATAAACAGTCTGTGCTCCTCCTCCAGAGCCCCAGCCGCACGGCTCCCCACCAAATCCCATTTTCTTTTCTTAAATTTAATTTTATTTTTAAAATTTTTAAGTTTTTGAATTTTTCCGTTTTTAATTTATTTCTTTAAATTTTTTACTTTTTAATGAATCACTGATAATCACTTGATTATCACACCAAGCTCCCGGGAGAGAACAAGGCGGAGACTCCTACCCCATGCCTGACTGTCCTCACCAGAGCCAACAGCAGAAGACGTCTGGCACAAGGCCAAAGTCATGCTGAGACCACTCTCCACACGCTTGGAAGGGCTTCACGCATAAAGGAACTGGCAGAGCAACCCAGGTGTGGGGGACCCGGGGCTGAGATCTCCAAGCCTACACAGTTTGGGACTGGACCTTCCAGTAGCTAGACAGTTACACCCACCAACTGCCGTGTAACCTGAACAACTGCCAGGATACATAGATTATCACACCAAGCTCCCAGGACTTTTTATTTATGTTTATTTATATATATTTTGGTTACTCTTTTTTTTCTGGTTTTGGTTTTGAGTTCTTGAGCCACACCCAGAGATCAGCCAGAACGGGCCAGGTTCTTGCTGCCCCCAAGACTTTAACTAAAGGAGCTGCTTAGATCAAACAGGAGGGCAGAGGTGTTCAGGGCAATCCTGGCTCTGTGCTCAGGGACCAGACATGAAACGGGGAACTGACCCAGCATCAGCCTTGACGAGGCAGAGAATGGTCTTTCCCTCTGTACTGTTCTCTGGCCCTGGCAAATCTAAATCATCAGAAATTACCTTGGGTTCCTTGAATTCCAAGTCTTCTCCGTACTGAATGGCAAAATCAATATGCTGTAATACAATGTTCATGCTTTCTTCTTCGGACTGATCGTAAGGCAAAAATCGGACCATGCTGTAGTCATCAATCTACAAATTAGAGATTTCAGAAAGGTCATGCAACTGACGCTTGAGTGTGAGCATTGGTAGTCTAATTAAAACCATCTATGCCTGTGCAGGGAGGAGCAGACAGAACAACAGCAAATCAGCATTAATTTTTTTATGAACTCTTACCTATTGGAACACTAGTAACATTACAACATTACTTAACTAAAGACTTTTTGGAGCGATAGCACAGCGGTAGGGCAAGCTACCGAGAGTATCTCGCCCGCACGGCAGAGCCTGGCAAGCTCCCCGTGACGTATTTGATATGCCAGACACAGTAACAACAAAGTCTCCAATGGAGACATTACTGGGCCCGCTCGAGCAAATTGAAGATCAACGGGAGGGCCTTTACTTTACTTTACTTTACTTTACTTTACTTTACTTTACTTTACTTTACACCTGGTGATGCACAGGGGTTACTCCTGGTTCATATACTCAGGAATAAGTCCTGGTGATGCTCAGGGGACCTATGGATGCTAGGAATCAAACCTGGGTCGGACGCATGCCACGCATACGTCCTACCTGCTGTGCTATCGCTCCAGACCCAACCAGAAATTGAGAATTCTTTTAAAGTAATTTATCTGCATTCAACAACCACTGAAAATTTCAAAAGGGTACAGGCAATTCTCATGTGCCAAGTGGCCAGGAAAAAAAGACATTGCAGAATTTCTCTACTGTGGGACGGGAGAGCTCATACACTGAGTTGGGCGCTTGCCTTGCACATAGGCAAGGGATGCACCCGGGTTCGATCCCCCGCATCCCGTATGCTCCCGGAGCCCACCAGGAATGATTTCTGGAGGCAGAGCCAAGAATAAACTCTGACCACTGCTCAGTGTGACCTCCTGCCCTCTCTGCTACAACCAATGACAACTTTTTTCAGAGGTGAGGGGAGGCCACATCCAGACAACGCTGGTGGCGACCATATGGTGCCAGAGATTAACCCTCTGCCCCTTGTGTGCAAAGCCAGTGGTGCTGCCCACTGAGCTCTCTCCCTACTTCTATACTAACTTCGAAGCAGACAGCCCACTGCTCCCAACATGCTGCTCCCCTATAAAAAGAAATGCGCCTGTCTGTGCCGTCCATATGGTGGCCACTGCCTGGGGGTGTGTAAGCATGTGACAAGACCATTAAGAAAAATATGAGTCTAGGAGGTGCGGGGGGAGGTGATGAAGAGCTACGACTGGGGTTACAACTGGCCTGCACTCCGCACACCTCAGTTTGAACACCCAGCACCACATATGGTCCACCAGGCACAGGGGAGAAACAGCCCCTGAGCACCACCGGGTGTCGCCCTCAAACCTTATAAACAACCCACAACAACCCCAAACACTTGCAAAACTCATCAGCCCAGGGATTAGCACAGAGCTTCATTCTTGGCACCAGATGGCATCCTGAGCATTGTTGGGTACAGCCAGGAAGCAAACAATAGTGCTGATACGGCCCTCAGGGCCCCAGCACTGACCACTACTAGCCTGGAGGGCCAATAATCAGAGTGGCCCCTTGGCCCCCCAGCATAGGAGGCCCACCCCCCAACCACCAAAAATTAGAAAAATACAAAGTCTTACCAGCCCACATATGGCATTAGTCAATTTTTTGAATTTTTTGCTTCTGAAGTTGCTTGTAGAATCATCTAATAAAGAATACATGCCTGGATCTAGAAACCTTCAAAAATGATAGACTGGGGAAGCAAAGAATTCGAAACACTAAATTTGTAGACTGACAATCGAAGTGAAACGAAAAAGGTTCAGCACTGCAAATGTGACGTTAATTATAGTGAACTTACTTCTCAACTTCCTTTTTAGCTCTTTTACTCAGCAGGTCCATTTTGGTCATGATGTTAACTTGCGGGATTTCTAGAGATACCATAGCATTCAAGGCTGCCAAGATGCCAGAAATAAACTGAAAGAGGACACAGTAAAGGGACAATGAATCAGTTGTCACCAATAGTGTCCACATAAAAGGTTTCTGATCCCCACTGGAACAAAACCCACCTAAATACGAGAAACGCTAAGATTGGGGCCCGAGCAAGAGTCCAGGCTTTAAGGTGCTTGCTTTGCGCCTGGTCAGCCCAGGTTCTAGCCCAGCACTCCATAGGGTTCCCAGAGCACCACCTAAGTGATTCCTCAGTACAACACCAGTAGTGAGCCCTGAGCACTGCCAGGCATGGCCTAACAGAAGACTGCTGGGCCAATAGCTGACCTTAGGATTCTAAAGATGAGATGGGAAGGAGAAACGTGATCTACAGTGACCACACTTCTCCACTCAACAATATTTTAGAGTGTTCAGGAGGTAGGTGGCGTTGAGTTCAGCACTGAGGAAACATGTAGTGACAGGGATTAAAAGCAGGTGGGCCACATCAAGGAGAGCACCTTAAGCCCTTTACTATTTTTTGGGGGGGGAGTGTGGTAATACCTGGCAATGCACAGGGGTTACTCCTGGCTCTGCACTCATGAATTACTCCTAGTGGTGCTCAGGGATGCTAGGAATCGAACCCGGATTGGCTGTGTGCAAGGCCCTACCCGCTGTACTATCACTCCAGCCCCCATTTTTAAAATTTACTTATTTATTTATTTTTGGGAAGCGCTGTACTATTTCTGACCCTTTAACATTATCTTCTCTCATGCTCCCCCTCCACCTCCCCTGATGGGTATTTCCTTTTGGGTTTCTGGGTCACACAATCCCCTGATATAACTAGTGGGTCACTTCGGCTTCTGCACTAACGAGTTACTCCTGACCAGCTTTGGGAACCATATGGGTGCTGGAGACGGAACCAAATGTCCTCCCTTTCAGTTTTGGGGAATACCCAGTAGTACTCTGAACTTTGTGGTCCAGGATCACTCCTGGAGCGGCTAAGGGGGCCCAGTGGCAGTACGGCAGGAATGACACCCAGGCTGGCCACATGCAAGGCAAGAGCTCTACCCACTGTACTATCTCTCCAGCCTCCAGCTTTCTTTTTTTCCCTAGTTTTGGAGCCACACACAGTGGTGCTTGGGACTTACTTCTGACACTGCCCTAGGACAACTCCTGAAGGCGACAGCTGAGAGTTGGGGACCACTAGAACTGCACAAGGGGCAAACTCAGGGCCTCGAACATGCCAGCTCTGTGCTCTGCCACTGGAGCCATCTTCTTGGCATATTAATTTAACAAACGTAAGTTCTAAGTCACTCCTGGGTATAGTTCATGAACTGGTAACAATTAAACAATTATGACTAAAGGTATTTGTACTCTGCTTGTGCCAGAGACTGAAAATCAAGGACAGGTATAGTTTCAAACCTTGAACGACTCCACCATGAATTGAGAATCAACAAGAAACACTCCACAGACTCGGAACTCCCACTGTTCCAGCTGCTGAACCAGCTGTTTCATCACGGGCAGGTGTGTGTACAACTCGATCTGACCGACAAGAACACAAGCTTATTATAAACATGAAATACATTCAACCCTCAATTATGGGATAAAAACTTTTCCCGGAAACTGTCTTAGGGGGCTTGAGAGATAGTATAGAGGGTGGGAAATTGCCTTGCACACAGCCAGCCTGGGTTCGATCCCATAGGGTCCCTTGAGCACAGCCAGGAGTAATTCCTGAGCACGAGGCTAGGAGTAACCCCTGAGCTTCATCAGATACGGCACCCGCGGTGCCCCCCAAATTTTTTAAAGGAAATCAATCCCCAGAAGTAATATATTCAATTTTGCTTGTTTTAAGCCGCACGTGGGGATGCTTGAGAGTCTCCCCGAAACTGCTGGGAGGGCTCGAGGCTACTCAGAGTCCTACATGCAAGGCCCATTACATGTAAAGCATGTCCCCAGCACACTATATCTCTAGCCCCTAAACTATATTCAATTTTTGTTTGTTTTTTGTTTTGTGGACTACCTGATAGTGCTCAGGGCTAATTCCTGATTCTGTGCTCAGGGATGACTCTTGGAAGGCTCCAGGAACCATATAGGATAGCAGGGATCACCTTAGCAGTGTGCAAGGAAAGTGCCCTACACACTGTAGTATCTCTCTGGCTCCCCCAATATTTTTTTTGTCATTTTGGGTCACACCTGGTGATGCGCAGGCGTTACTCCTGCCTCTGCACTCAGAAATTACTACTGACAGTGCTCGGGGGACCATATGATATGCTGGGGTTCCGGGTCAGCCGAATGCAAGGCAAACGCCCAACCAGTTGTTCTATCACACCCGCTCCCCTGGCCCCCCCAATAAATTTTTAAGCAACTCTGGGTGTACATCTATGTAAAGGGGGCATACAAAGAAAATATACTGTCATCATCATCATCACTGTCCTCCTGTTCATCGATTTGCTCGAGCAGGCCCAGTAACATCTCCATTGTGACAATTGTTACTGTATTTGGCATATTGAAAATGTCACGGGGAGCTTGCCAGGCTCTGCTCTGCAGGCGAGATACTCTTCGGTAGCCTGCCGGGCTCTCCAAGAGGGGCAAAGGAATCAAACTCCAGTCGGCCATGTTGGCTGGTTGCACGAAAATTTTTAAAAATGATTTTAAAATGGGCTGCAGTAATAGCACAGTGCTAGGGCATTTGCCATGCTCGCAGCCGGCACAGCCAAACCGGGTTCAACTCCTCTGCCCCTCTCGGATAGCACAGCAAGCTACCGAGAGTATATTGCCCACATGGCAAAGCCTGTCAAGCTACCTGTGACATATTTGATATGACAAACACTGTATCAACAAGTCTCACGATGGAAGTTACTGGGCCTGCTCAAGCAAATCAATGAACAATGGGAGAACAGTCACAGAGATTTCATTTATTAATTTATTATTATTATTATTATTATTATTATTATTATTTGCATTTTGGGTCACACCCAGAGATGCTCAGGGGTTACTCCTGGCTCTGCACTCAGGAACCACTCCTAGCGGTGCTCAGGGGACCATATGGGATGCTGGGATTCGAACCTGGGTCGGGTATGTGCAAGGCAAACGCCCAACCTGCTGTGCTATCACATTGATCCAGCCCCGACAATGACAGATTTTAAAACAAATTTTTATTCTCTTAGTGTGAGGGGAGGAAGTTTGGGTCACACCCACTGGTATTCTGGGAGGATTCCTGACTCTGTACTAAAAATAACTCCTGGCAGTGCTTGGGGGATCCTATCTGGAACCAGGGATCCAAACTTGGGCTGGCAGAAAGCAAGGCAAGGGCTTTAGCTGGTGTACTATGGCCCTAAAAAAACAAACAAAAAAAAATCTTGTTTTTGGCCCATACCCACTAGTATTCATTGAACCATATATGGTGCCAAGGACTGAACCTGTGTCTACCGCAGCATCCTACCCATCCTTCTGTCTCTCTAGCTCTAAAGCAAACCTTTCAAGAGCTGCATGACCGAAGCTGGAGTGATAGCACAGCAGGTAGGGCGTTTGCCTTGCACACAGCCGACCTGAGTCGATTCCCAGAATCCCATATGGTCCCCTGAGCACTGCCAGGAGTGATTCCTGAGTGCAAAGCCAGGAGTAATTCCTGAGCATCACCAGGTGTGACCCGTAAAACAAACAAAAAAAAAGCTGCATGACCTGGGACCCAAGAAACAAGAGACTGAGCATATGCTCTGCATGCAGAAAGCCTGGGCTCAGTTCCCAGCATGCTTTGGTTCCCCAAGCAGGGCTGGGAGCAACCCCTTGATAACAGTTAGGAAGAGCCCCAGCCTCTAGCACCTCTGCATGTGGCCCCCAAACAGAAGAAAACAGACATTCCACAGCCCCTCAGGGGATGACAGTCCACTGTCCAAGAATCTGAGGTAAAAGTAAATGAGATGTTAATTTCACTTTCTCCCACCAAGGACAGAACTGCACAACCCAGGGATGATGACAATCTAATTACTGAGCTACCTGGACAGTCAAAAAGGATGCAGTCATCCTCGACATGGCCAAGGCAGTTCTCCAGCCACTCAAAGTTACTGGTGAATACTCCATGCAAAACACCAGTCCTCCATTGGGACCGAAGCGCAGGGAACCGTCCTCCATCACATCATCCACCTCGATCAGTTCCCGGATGTCTGCAAAGAATATACAGGAAATGAGTGCCCATTCCAAAATATTTACATTCTTTAGTAATTACAACTGTGACAGTATCCACAGAAACTGAACAGGGGCTAGAAAGAAAAAACAAAAAACAAAATCAAAAAGACACCAAACAGGGGCCAGAGGAATAGAACAGTGGGTAAGGCGCTTGCCTTGCATGTGGACAACCCACTTTCAATCCTTGGCACCTCATATAGTTCCTCAGCTTCACCAGGAGTGATCCTGGAGCACAGAGCCAGACGGGCTGAACACAGCTGGGAGTGGCCCAAATCCGACCCCACCCATAAAGAAAAGAAAAAAAAAAACAAATAAATATAGGACAAAGAAGTTCAGCCAATGAACTTTGCCAATGAGAATAGGGTCTGGAGCGTAGCACAGCGGGTAGGGCGTTTGCCTTGCACTCAGCTGACCCGGGTTCGATTCCCAGCATTCCATATGGTCCCCCGAGCACCGCCAGGAGTAATTCCTGAGTGCAGAGCCAGGAGTGACCCCTGTGCAGTGCCAGGTATGACCCCAAAACAAAGGCTGTGGAACTAAAGGGGCCCTAGCGGGGACACGGAGAGTCCAGAGCGCAGGACACTCCCCTCATACAAGGCTGCCTCACTTTCAATCCCTGGACCATCCTGGAAGCCTGCCAGGGGTGATCCCTGAGCACAGAGCCAGGAGTCAGCCCTGAGCACCACCGGATGTGACCCCAAAAGCAAAAAATGCAGGAGCTCATACTCCAAAATTGCTGTACCACATATGACAGAGTTCATAGTAGCAGGCAACCAATCTTAGAGGGAAATATATATATATTTTTTACAGATATATATATATATATATATATATATATAAAACACACAAGGCTCAACCTTTTACAAGATGTTAGTGATCTCTTATAGAAGGGCTTAATGGTCCCTGGGTGGAATACATACTCTTTCCTCTAAGGATACTTTTTTTATAGCATTTTTAGCGATTATTATTTTTTTTTTTGGCTTTTGGGTCATACATATTCATGCACAGGAATTACTCCTGGCTCTGCACTCAGGAATTACCCCTGGCTAATGGTGCTCAGGGGACCGTATGGGATGCTGGGAATCGAACCCACTTTCGCCGTGTGCCAGGCAAACGTGCTACCCACTGTGCTATTCCTCCAGCGCCCTGGCAGTTTTTCATATCAAATAATGCAACAGAATAGATTATTTGAGTTCTTCTTTGGGACAGGGATTGGGGTTTGGGATGGAACTATGCGAAATATGGTGGTGAGAAGGTGTAATGGTGGTGGGATTGGAGTCTGAATATTGAATGTAATCAAATATTGTAAAACACTTAATAAAATAAAAAAATTGAAGGGTTGGAGCGATATGACAGCGGGCAGGGCGTTTACCTTGCAAGTGGCCGGCCAAGTTCGATTCCTAGCATCCCTATGGTCCTCTGAGCACCACCAGGAGAAATTCCTGAGTGCATAGCCCAGAGGAACTCCTGGGCATCACCCGTTGTGACCCAAAAAGCAAAAAAAAAAAAAAATACTAATAATAATTTTTAAAAATGAGGATGGAATAAGTTATTGCACAATAAACACTCTCCGCTCTTCCCCCAGAGCCCTGGCCGCCCAGCCCCCCACCTACTCCCATTTTCTTTTCTTTTCTTAAATTTAATTTCATTTTTTAAATTTATTTTTTAAATTTTTCCATTTTAAATTTGTTTTCTTAAATTTTTTACTTTTTAATGAATCACCGATACTCACCTGAATATTTCACCAAGCTCCCGGGAGAGAACAAGGCAGATTCTCCTACCCCGTGCTTGACTGTCCACACCAGGGCCCAGCAGCTGAAGACCTCAGGCAACAGGCCAAAGTCATGCTGAGACCACTCTCCACACGCTTGGATGAGCCTCACGCATTTTTTTTTTTTAGTGGGTAAGGTAAAGGTAAAGGCCCTCCCGTTGATCGTCGATTTGCTCGAGCGGGCCCAGTAACGTCTCCATTGGAGACTTTGTTGTTACTGTGTCTGGCATATCGAATACTCTCGGTAGCTTGCCGGGCTCTCCGAGAGGGGCGGAGGAATCGAACTCGGGGCGGCCATGTTGGCCGCTTGTAAGGCGAACGCCCTACCCGCTGTAAAACTTTATTTTTATTTTTATTTATTTATTTATTTATTTATTATTTATTGAATCACCTTGGGAAAGGTTACAAAGCTTTCAGGTTTAGGTCTCAGTCATGCAAATATCAAACACATTTCCCTTTACCAATACTTTTTTTTTTACCATGAAGAACCCCAATGAAACCCCACCCCCCACCCCTCCCAGTCCCTGTGGGGCAGATGAATTCTAGTTAACACTCTATCTGCTTTGATTAGATTCATTGTTTAAATAAAAGATTCACCACTATTATTTAGATTTTACCCCCCCCCCCAAATCAGACATGCTGAAAAAGCATTGTGACGTGATTTGCTTTCTACAGCTGGGTTCAAGAATTAAATGTTGGTTTTGGATTTCTGCTATTTTACTTATTGACCCTGGAAGTATTTATACTGAAAGTCAGATAGTTAAGAAATTGGTTTCTGTGCTCTGGAGTCGTGGCCGTGCTGGAGAGCCGCTAGTGGGGGGCAACTGGTGGCCTCGGTAGGGCGTGAAGGGCGGACCGAAACGCCCCCTTCCCATGAGGTTTTAGTCGCCCCCACTCCCCCGGCTCATACCAGCTGTCCACAAGGCTCCCGTGCGGCCGCCATCTTTCTTTCCAGAGAGGAGAAGGCGACTGGGGCAACACCCTTTCCCCTCTGGCAGACATGATGGCCTGGATTAACGCATAGTCCTTTCACTTTTCTGCTCCAAGCTGCCAGGTTCTGCATTAAGTCCCTGTGCTTCTGGGGCTGTGGCCGTGCTGGAGAGCCGCTCGCGGGGGGCAACTGGTGACCTCGGTAGGGCGTGAAGGACGGACCGGAACGCCCCCCTTCCCATGAGGTTTTAGTCGCCCCCACACCCCCGGCTCATACCTGCTGTCCACAAGGCTCCCATGCGGCCGCCATCCTTCTTTCCAGAGAAGAGAGGGCGAATGGGGCAACACCCTTTCCCCTCTGGCAGACTTGATGGCCTGGATTAACGCATAGTCCGTTCACTTTTCTGCTCCAAGCTGTTGGGTTCTGCATTAAATCCTTGTGTTTCTGGGGCTGTGGCCGTGCTGGAGAGCCGTTCGTGGGGGGCAACTGGTGGCCTCGGTAGGGCGTGAAGGACAGACCGGAACGCCCCCCTTCCCATGAGGTTTTAGTCGCCCCCACACCCCCGGCTCATACCTGCTGTCCACAAGGCTCCCATGTGGCCGCCACCTTTCTTTCCAGAGGGAGGAGGGCGGAAGGGACCAACACCCTTTCCCCTCCGGGCAGACATGATGGCCTGGATTAACGCATAGTCCTTTCACTTTTCTGCTCCAAGCTGCTGGGTTCTGCATTAATTCCTTGTGCTTCTGGGGCTGTGGCTGTGCTGGAGAGCCGTTCGTGGGGGGCAACTGGTGACCTCCGTAGGGCGTGAAGGACAGACCGGAACGCCCCCCTTCCCATGAGGTTTTAGTCGCTCCCGCTCCCCTGGCTCATGCCTGCTGTCCACAAGGCTCCCATGTGGCCGCCATCTTTCTTTCCAGAGAGGAGAGGGCGAATGGGGCAACACCCTTTCCCCTCCAGCAGATTTGATGGCCTGGATTAACGCATAGTCCGTTCACTTTTCTGCTCCAAGCTGTTGGGTTCTGCATTAAATCCTTGTGTTTCTGGGGCTGTGGCCAGCCTCACGCATTTTGAAGGTGAAATTGCAATGAATTTAAATAAATTTGTATGTAAGAAAGTAGCAATGATGGTCACAGCTGCTATTGGATAATTTTTATTGATTTCGGGGAGCAAAAGGTATTGTAACATTCATTTTTTTCAAAGGAAAAAATCTGGGAAAATTAAGTAAGATCATTATCTTACCTTTATCTTTTAGTTTTCCTACACTGAAAATTATTTCTACAATTAAAACACTAAAAGTCACTTGATCACTTCATCACTTGATAGCCCGTTACTCATCCATTACTGGAGTGGGTGTCAGTAACGTTTCCATTCAGCCCTGTTGCATGCTAGTGTAGCCCAATGGCATCTGCTCATTCTAGGAATATGCATAAAGGAACTGGCAGAGGAACTCAGGTGTGCAGGACGCGGGGCTGAGATCTCCAAGCCTGCACGGTTTGGGACTGGACCTTCCAGGAGCTAGAAAGTTACACCCATCAACTGCCGTGTAACCCCAACAACTGCCAGGATCCAGTGATTACCACTCCAAGCTCCCAGGAGCGTGGGGCCACATTTGCATTTGCGGCCAGGCGACCTTATATTTATGTTTATTTATTTTTTCAGACTACCTTAAATATCCCACCCACATGGCAGAGCCTGACAAACTATCCGTGGTATATTCGATATGCCAAATCCAGTAAAAAAAAAAATGGATCTCATTCCCCTTACCCTGAATATGGAAATGTCGAGAAGGATGTGGAAGGAGAGGCTGACAAAATCTCAAGGCAGAACTAGGCTGCCAAAACGAAGAAAGACAAAAATTATTGTCTGTAATTTCAATGCACGTATGCCGGCATGGGATATATCCATCGAGGACCTGATGGTACAAGCGTGAAAGATCAAGTAGAACATCATTGGTCTGACCAAAAAGAGAAGGCATCAATCACACCATGCCATTTTTGACACTGGAGAAGAACTGTTCCTTGGAACATGTGCCAAAAGAGGCATCAGTGGTGTCGGTATCCTTGTCAAGGCGAACTTGGCCATGAGCATTGATTCAATTCAATGCCTAACAACCCGAATTGCATGATTACACTTGAATAGACGTGGATCACTGCCAGCAGTTTCTATCTTTGTTGTGTATGTACCAACATCCTGTTATGGTGAAGGAGAAATGGAGAAGTTCTACATGCAGCTGGAGAAGTTCTATAAAGAAGACCACACCTTCTACAAGATCATTG